TAGGATAATGTCTTAAATCCTTAGCCTACCATTCAAAGCCTTCTACAGTTTGCTGGATCTACCCTGTCATCTAGCTCTGTTTCCTGTGCTCTCCCTTCTCCAGTTCAACAAATTAAATTCTTTTTCCTCTACTAATTGACAAGCATTCTTGCCTACAAATGTTTGACATAACAGTCCTCCCTTCTTTAGTGCCCTTCCCACTCTTTGCAACCATTAAAATCCCTTGTGCAGGGCCATGCTCTCCTTATTGGACTCTTCTGTTATGGTCCCAGTTCTCCAGAACCACTGAGCAGAATCTGCCTGGCAGTCTGCCACATGTCTCCTCTTTCAGACCTTCCCTTCCCAGGAGCCCTTGGGTATGGGTTCCTAAGCGCAAAGTAATTTGTCTCCTGTGGCCTCAGAAGGGCTTACTGAATTTGTTGATAGGAGGCTAGAGGAAGAGGCCTTCAAGTTAAAATATGGAGAAAGGTGGGACTTAGAGAAACTTAGAGGCTCTTTGGGCTCAAGATGGCTCAGACCAGAGGTATTCAGGAGGGGTTGAGGGCAGGATGGGGGAATGTGCACCTAGAAAAGGAGGCAATGGGCAGAGTAGCTGCCCCAAGTTCCAGGACCCAGCCATCTCCCCTGACAGGTTTTCAGCCCCGTGCATTGGAGTAGCAGTGCCCAGGCTTGCCTCACGGCAACTGTCTTGTCTGTTTATACCTCAGAGGAGCAGTTTATCCTCTCCCAGATTGCACTCCTGGAGCAGGTGGAGGCTTTGGTGCCTATGCTGGACAGCGCTCATATAAAAGGTATCTCTCCACTACTCTGCTTGGGGATGGGCGGATGGGCAGGTCTTCCCTGTGCCTCAGGTTCCCTTGGCTCAGGCTGGGTCTGCTCCTTGTCTTTTTTTTTTTTTTAATATATCTTTATTGATCTCAGAGAAAAGGAGGGAGAGGGAGAGAGAGAGATAGTAACATCAGTGATGAGAGAGTCATTGATCGGCTACCTCCTGCATGCCCCCAACCAGGGATCAAGCCCGCAACCCGGGCATGTGCCCTGACAGGGAATTGAACCGCAATCTCTTGGATCTGAGGTCGATGCTCAACCGCTGAGCCACACTCGGCCGGGCTGCTCCTTGTCTGTATCTATTTGTTTTTAATCCTCATCCAAGGACATGTTTTTTCAGTGGACTCCAGAGAGAGAGGAAGGGAGAAAGAGAAACATCAATGTGAGAGAGATACATTGATCGGTTGCCTCCCATATGCACCTTGAGCCTGCAACCTGGTTGTGTGCTCTGACTAGGAATCAAACCCATGACCCTTCAGTGCACAGGATGATGCTCCATCCGAGCCACACAAGCCAGGGCCCTTGTCTTTACCTTTACCGTGGGGGTACTTGCCTCCTGCATTGGGATTAAGAATTGCCAGAACAGAGAGCTCAGTTTCAGAACCCTGGGCAATTTGGGCGTAAGGATAGTAGTGTAAGCCCAACAGGCCTAACTCTGGGGATTCTTTCTGCCTCTATCACACCTCTCAGCATCTGTCCTTCAGGATGCTACAGAGCCCAGATTTTACTGTAAGAGTCTCTGCCAGGTATGTGAATGTGTGTGACTTCTTCCTGCCACACTGCTGAGAGCAGTTTCTATGCCTGGGTTTTGACAAGCAGACAGTGACTTTAATTGAATTCAGATATCCTTCTTGTCTGTCTCTGGAGGTATTTTTCCAAGCTCCCCCTTCCTACCCCTGATCAGCTACCTGCTGAGCATCTGACAGCCTTAAGTTTTGGGCCTAGCATGGTGGCCAAGGCTTTGGGTGTTGGATTTCAGATGGCCAACTTAGGGACCTGGCATTTATCCTCAGCCTACCTGCAGCTCCCTGTTCCCTAGGACAGGCAGACCTGGTCCCACTAGCTGAGAGCAAAGAGACAGATTCCATGATAGGTAATGCTCTTTTTACCTGTTGCTGCTTATGGCACTAGAGTGGGGGTATGAGGCAACTTTGAGGACCCCAAGGTTTTGTCTTCTAGGAGCCTGTATCTTCCCCTCCTCTTTGGGTCCTAGAGTAAGACTAGGGTGAGCAAGGAGCCCCCCCCCCACCACCACCTTTAGCTGCAGCGGTCAATGAAGCCTGGCGTTTGTTTAGTTTCTCCACTCAATACTCTAATCCTGCCAAAGACCTAATAGACTATTGAGCAGTCCTGGGGGAAGGCACAAGCATCATCAGGCAGTGTGCGTTGTTTTACAGCTGTTCCTGAGCATGCCGCCTGCCTGCAGCGCTTGGCCCAGATCCACATCCAGCAGCAGGTATGGGAAGGGAGAAAACTGGAAGGTGGTGAAGCTTCCAGTCGCCACCCCTGCTGCCTGGGGAAACAGTCTCAGGCTCCCCTGATATCAGCTCCAGTGGAAACTTGGGAGTTTATCCTTTATCTTTCATCTGACTTAGAGAGGGGAAGGGATTTGCATAGGGCCACATCCAGATCTCCTGCCTCCCAAAGTAGGGTTACTCTGAGACACCAAAAGGTTGAATTGGGAGGTACCAAAGAATTCCTGGAGATTATGTGTCCTTAGCTGTGGGTGAAGGAGCTTTTTTTTTGTGTCACCGCCCCCCCCACCCCCATTCCCAGGCTCTAGTGTAAATTAAAAAAGGGTTCAGAAAATGGGACGGGGAGGAGGTGACATACACTAACAGAAATGTTTCCTTAAATGTGTGGTCTATTCCCCCTTCCATCAACCTTAAAACTGCTGTTAGTGTACCCATTTTGGAGCCTTAAAGTATCCTTTTAGAAATTTGCTCTTTTTGGCTCTGGGGTTAAACATCACCTTATCTTAGGCTCTGTGGGGAGTGAGGGTCCCTGATGAGACAGGAAGGTTAATGGGAAGTGAGGGCTTTGTCCAACTCCTCTCTCTGCCATACCTTGGCCCCACAGGACCAGTGTGTGGAGATCACTGAGGAGTCCAAGGCTCTCCTGGAGGAATACAACAAAACTGTATCCTTTCTGCTCAACCAGGCCTCTGAGGAGCTGTCCAAAGCCCTGGCCTTTTGTTCCATCTGTAGCTCTGTCTTTCATCCCATCTCAACCAGCCTGTTGGTTCCCCTGTTCCCCTACCCTTTTGGCAGATGCAAAGTATCAGCACTACCTCACTCAGACTCATGTTCTCACCTTGACCTGCAACTAGACAATGCTTCTCTCCAAGCAATTTGTGCAGTGGGATGAGCTTCTTTGCCAGCTAGAAGCCGCCAAGCAAGTGAAGCCAGCAGAGGAGTGATGGCTGCTATCCATCCCAGGATGGGCCAGGGCAGTCAGACTTTGGGGCCATATTTATTGGATTCATAGCCTACCTCTCCGCACTCAGGTGGAGCTCTGAGGTCACAGGTCTGGCTACTTGAGATTTTCTCTTTGTACCCCCTCCCCTCATCAGTGTCCTATTCCAGTGACAATAAACTATAGAGATCACTGGAGGAATGTGCCTGCTTCTTGGTCTAGGGTGGGGACGGGGGTGAGTGAGGATGGGGGTCATGGAGGGCAGAGTTGTCAACCTTCCTAGTGGTTGAACCAGGAGCTATACTCATCCTGGTCTGGTTTTCTGGAAGGTATGGGGCTCTCAGGACAAATGCTCTTATTTGATTAATGTGAGTGGAACATTCACTTATGTATCCATTTATCCTACATTTACTAATTATCCCTCTTTATGTAAGATTCCATGCCAGGTAGGGAGGATACAGGTCGGTTCCACCTGATCCCTGCTCTGCACAGGCTAGCTGTGAGACAGTCTAGGAAAAGGGCAGTCCCACCAGGTTGGCACAGGGTCCTTTGAGACACAGAAGAAAAGGATGGAGGAGGCAGCCCTAGAGGGCAATATGCAGGGTCTTTGAGAGCCCAAGGAGCAGCATGTGCAAAGGTGGAGAGGAGCCTTGAAATTTCTCAGTTGGTAGCCTTCTTGGTGCAATTAGCCGAGAAGGGGAACCTAGAAGAGGTGCGATACAGGCATTGGGGAGGGGTGACCCATTAGGGAATGAGAAGAAGGAAGCTTGAGAAAGAGCAGACTGAGATTGTCACCTCACTCCACCAAGTGTTTGCTGCCCCCTTGTGGTGTCAGGGAGCTCTGTGGCCCCAGGCTCCTTTACAACGGCCTGCCCAGTCACCCCACCTGCGCGGTCTCAGGCATCATGTCCAAATTCAGCATGTCCAAATGAAGTATGAAACTGGGAGTCATCCTTGACCCTTCCCTCCTCTGTCCAAACGGTCGCCAGCTTCTCATCGCTCCCAACTTAATCCACATTTCTCTATCCCCCCTGCCATTTCTCTGGTTCATTCTTTGAACAAATCATTTAACAAGTATTTGAGCGCCTATTAAATGCCCGGCACCGGACATGTCTCAGTGGCCCCACCTCTGGGACCCAGCAGCCTGTAGTCACCAGCGATTGCGGCCTGATTCCCC